TATTATCTTCTCACTCCATATCCCACATTAATGCAATCACTCAAAAAATTTTCACCAGAAAGCATTCGCGCTATCGCTCGAAACCCAAATATAGACTTACAATCAATAGGAATCTATTCAAAATCAGATATTCAACATCACATTAGAACACAACAATTCCAAGAATTATTAACACAAATGGACACTATACAAAGACAATCAATAGACCAAAATTTACGCAAACTTGCAGAAACCGCAGGATTTGCCGATATCTACACGCAAGACTATAGCGGATATTTTAAAGACATTAAAGATTATATATATCTAAACGGCGAAAAATACCGTCCCCAAGATATATCACCAATCAACATTTTTAGCTTTGTTACACTCAAGAATGAAATCCTTGATTTTCTAGGATGGCCCTACTACATCTTAGAAAAATTGACTATTTTATACGCAATGTTTAACTTTATTGGATTTCTTTTCTCACTCTTAAAAGGAATCTACAATACATGTGCTATACACACACAAGTAAACAGACAAGACAAGCAAGCGTAGCACGCATACTCTTTGCAGGATTTTTTGGAATTTTTTTTACATCTATAAACAAAATTCTTTTAGACGCACAAATAAAAGAATATAACACAAAAATAACAACACGACAAAATACATACGACGAAGAACACAACAATGTCGACACACAGCCAACGGCACCACAATTACCACCCCTACCAAATAACCATCCACTATCCCTAGTCCCACGAAATTTTCGAAATTTAGCAATCACACATAATCCAAATTTTCGACTCACCACATCGCAAAGCCCCATCCAACATATAATGACACATCAATCACAAGATGATAATACTTATGAACAAATTATTGAACAGCCCCATACCACCGCTTTTCAATCTCAAAATAATCATTTTTTTAGCCCACGATGAGCCGCCAACTTGGATCACTACATCGATCAAATTCCCATCCAACCAATCTTACCTCTCCAATCCCAATCATACCACTTTTCGCTTTTCCGCCACCCGATTTTCCATCTAGCAATGTAACATCAGGCATGAATTCCGACACTAACTCACAAATTTCAGTTTTATACTCCATCTCACAGCTCAATAACCCGAATATTGAAACCCCCGATGAATTTGCCGACTCAGAACCATCTCCATCCAATAATTTTCATAACCCTTCTAATTTTTCTCAACCCCCTTTTCAACCCATATTATCCAATAACCCTGACCCCATCACTCCCACACCCTCTTATGCTTCCCAAGTTACCCCAACCTACTCCTCATACCATTCTGACCAATCATCTCATTCTCCAGACACCCCCCGAATCTCCCCAGAGCTAGATAATTTTATTACCCTCCAACAACAACCCTACCACCTTAACACCCCGACCATAAACCACATCTCCTCCACTCCAAATTCATCCAATCCCCCTACACCCTCTTCAAATTATACTGAATCATTAACACCATCATCCACATCCACTATATCTTCACTAAACACTAATAGAGCTTACCGCACTTTTAAAAGAAAATTCCCCAACCATCCTTTCCCAGCAAAACCAGGAACAGCCCGTGAATACATCAACCACCCCCAGCATACTAACACTAAAGAATTTTTAGCTATCACTTTACCCTCATTTCCACAATACACCTTAAACACCCCTCACGACGCTAACGAAACACGCAACTTTGTAGATGAATACGTTTTAATGCCCACTCTCTCTTGGACCTCATATTATCATTTCACTAACCCTCTTTGCTTACCTTTATCCAACACTTCCATCGATATAGAACGAAACAAAGACATGCTATATCGACTAACTACACCACTAACCGCTAGACAGTTTACTTACGTTGGATATAAAAAATCACTAAAAATACACACTGCACCTAGAGCTAATGAATATACACTAGAATACTACGATCACAACATCATCAGAGCTAACCAAGATCAATTCTTAGACGAAGATCGCTTCGCTAACCCACAAATCACCGAGAAATTTTTCATCAAGACACCATATGTATTTACACTAAACATCTTTGACCGAAAGTTTGATCACATTATTTCAGAAGCACTAACAAACACACAGGCATACGAAAGTTTTAAAGAACGCTTCCAAATCTTTTCACTAACCTTTCATTTCCTTGCACCACACGAAAGAGATTTACACTGCTCACACGATATTATGTTGCGAACTAAACAAACACATACATACAGTTACTATCGTTTCATCCAAAATCACTTTGACCTCCACACACCCTCTAGACAACCACACCATCGTTTTCAATTCATCAATTCAAAATACACTTCACCGTATTTCCTAAATTTCACATATTGTATTAAAGACACTAACCTCCATGGTATTCTTCGTAATTATGACCCCATAACCCAAATGTATATTTTCTGCCCCATCACCAAGACCTTCAACGCCGAAGAATCCCGACCCTTCATTATCCCGCACGAGTTTGTACAGCCTATAGAAATCCCCATTTTAGAATTCATCCACAACACTAAATTTAACCACAAATTATATAACTTAATCCAAAACACACCTTATGAGTTTGCAGTAGGCACTGAAGAACTAACCACCATTAAGGCACTTCAATTGCTTTGGCCACTGCTTCAAACTAAAAATATCATCCGCATCTTAGCTAAACTACTAACAACTTCAGAACTAATTCACGACATCTTCCCCCACGGTTTTTTCCCCGACGACTAACAGGTAAGTATGAATTAAGTAAATAGTACCAACTAATTAAAATATTGAAAAACTCACCATTCTTTATTCATGTTTTCTTTAGATTTTTAGCCTTCATCCTAGATCATCTGAAAAATTCACAAAAGAAAAATAAAAAATAGCAAACTTCTTCAAAACTGTTTAAGACTCTATTAAACTTTTGCACCAACAATTAAATAAATATAATACCAATGCAGTAAATTAATTTATAAAATTTTCCCCCAAAAAGCAGTAAATCTAATTATAATGAAAATTTGTATCTTAAAATTCCCCCATTACTAGCAGTAAATTTCCAAATTCTATGCAGTAAATTAATAAAATGCAATTGCAGTACTAACCTTTTGATATTTTCATTCATTCGCACAGAAATTCTATCCACACTCGCACAGCTCGCCCACGAAGAATTGTTTAAAATAATGAATTTCAGTTTCAAGTTTTCACACTCAACAACTCTAACATATAATAACATGTTTCAAACTTTCCTTTAACCCGGTTGGAAAGGAATCATATACTAAACAAAACTAACCAACGCAGCTTACTAAACACCACAAATCATAGAATAACAGCATGACTAAGAAAAGGAAACCAACGGTACCCAAACCGGATTAACCCAGTTTAAAACTGGATAAATTATTCTTTTGAAGACTATTACAAAGTCTTAGAAAGAAATAATAAAACACAAAAAAGTCGAAAGACAAACCCATACCACAAACAATTTGCTTTTTGGAAAAAGTACATAACCAACAAGACATAAGTAAAACCACAACAAACCCAACATAAAACGTTGTCACATAACAGGACCCCTCACAAAAACCGCATGAAATCATACTCCCACACCTGGCCTAACCCACCAGGAAAGGAGGTCCTGAGCATGCTCTATAGCCGGCCTAACCCACCGCGCTACATCCACGCTTTGTGACCACACCTTTATTTTTAATAAGAGCTACTCAAGGGTGAGTAACTCTTCAAAATAACCGAACTAAAACAAAAAGCTTTTGTGAAAACAATTAACTAAAATCATTATTAAAAAATATTAAACTAATAAAAGTTTTATAAAATGTAAAATCACATGATGCAATATATAGATCAGAATACAACACCAAGGACGAACATCAAAAGACAAGACGACCCCACTACACTCGAGAGAGAATGACCAACTACAATCGATATGCCGCTCACAATCACAACTCAAAGGATTTAGAGTACGACTTGACCTCGCAGAAAAGGACTTCATTGAATCAGACCAATGACCACCTCGATGACCCAAGTGTATGTACAGATCCGAGTAACCAGGCATCCCCTCCACGCACAATCTCCACGCCATTCCCAAGCTAGATCAGACACAAAAGAAGTTCTCCACGAAGAACAGAAAAACCTGACATAGCCAACCATTCTGAAATCAGAATTGATTTTGTTGCAAAGACTCAGTCGTTGTCACAAGAAGAAGCGGAAGAAAAATATGATGTTCGCCAAATACCAACGTCCATCATCCACCCTTGAATTACAGAAGAACTGTTCTAAAAAACTCTGTAAAACCCGGATGGGTGGAACCTGATCTAAACTATATATTATGATTGGATAAATTAAATGTTTTACCAATGTAAAGTATTTAATATTAACCAATCATGATCCATCTAACTAACAACCCACTTATTTGTAAGTGCTGAAGTTACTTGTAATTTCAGCACCAGAGAGATTTGAATTTAACTTAGAAATTAGTTGGACTCTCCCGAGCACTTCAGCAGCCGCAATAAACCAGTATACCCTAGATCTATTGAGCCTAGCAGAGACTAGTTAAACAACCTGAGACTAGATAGTATAAGAGTAAGATTAGGATCGGTATTAGACTAAGAAGTTGCACGAATCTATCCGGCCGAAAATAAGATAGCGTGACGAGCAGACGGTGTACCCTATCCGAAATTACTCTATGAGTTATACACTCCAGACATAACTCACTTGAGAAAAAAAGCCACCCCGAGCACAAACATTCCTTCACTTTCACAAAAGCCACCCCGAGCACAAGCAAAGTCGAAACAGAACTACTGACTAAATGTCAAGCAGATAAAAATCAAGAACTTTTCCAGAGCTCGGCAGGAAAATAGGTAAGCAGATAATGACGGTTTTTTGATTTTTATATTCATTTTGATGAGTATTTTTTTAAATTCACGGTTCACGAATCTGAAAAAAAATCGTTCTGGTTCTATTTTCTTTTAATTTTTGTTCAGATCAGTTTGTTAAACTTATCCGGTCACTTTTAACTTGCCTTCTATTTTTGGTTTGACGTTAGAGCAGTTCTGTCTGTTGATCCAGGTCATCTGACCAGTACGAATGTGTCTAAACTGAAGGACATAGTACCTGGAGGACCTCGTCGCAATCATGTCGAATGGGTTTCTAACTACCATGACGCCCACGATTCCTAAGCCATACAACTGTAACCTGAAAGAAAGAAAGAAAGAAAGAAAGAAAGAAAGAAAGAAAGAAAGAAAGAAAGAAAGAAAGAATCAATTCTTTCAAATAAATTAATCACAATCTGAGATTTCTCAATCGAAAATTTATTGGAAGAAACTCGGAAAGAGCAGTCAACGGAATCAACGGAATCTACAGGAATAAGCAGGTCAAAGCTTATGACAAAATGGTTTTTTAAGGATATGAATGTTAATCATTTTAAATGAATCGAATTTATCAAAAAAAATTTAAGGTTCAAATGGCACTCTTGCTCAGTATGGAACAGTTTTAACCACAGATATAGTTGTCAATATCAATGTTGCCACACTTTCCAATAATCTACAAAATATGTATTAAAAACATAACCAAATTTCAGAAAAAAAAACAGGAATAAAAAATCCCAGTAACTGTTTTGTTAATGGTCTGCAAACAAAAATAACGTACCTGTTTATGCCGTCGTCGAACCAGCGAGGCCAGTTTTTGAACCATTCGATAGTCTCATAAGACTTCCGAGTTCCAATGATTTTCAAAGGATGTCGGAAATTTCCTTGAAAGCGACCCATACTATGCCAAAACCCCTTTTGATTCCCAAGATTACTCGAACTCCGCACTGAAGTTGAACATATCTGTTCTAGGGACTTTTTTCTTAAGTTTCAAATCTGAGTAAATTTTGATTCCGATTTTCCACGTTTGATTTTCGAGGTTATTAATTACAACTATAAAAAATGAAAATTAAATCTGAGCAGAAATTCGAACTTAAAAACCGATACTGGAAATGCAATAATTTTGGGTAGCAAAAAAAAGAATCAGAAAAAAGTCCCTTTTCTGCCGCTGCGATGACTGAAAATTGAATATTATGCATCTTGTTCCAGAGCAGGTACTCATTTGCTATTAAAGCATTCGGATGAGCGTCTATTATATTTCCTGTTATAGTTGATCCACATCGGTTGAAACCGAAGAAAAATACAAATTTCGTCACATTTTTGATAGTTTCGCTGGACCAATTACTACAAATTTTGTTTAATTGCAGATAATCGTGGTCCACCTCAGCGTGAAACTCAGTTCTGTTCTCAGTTTCAGATTCAAAATCAATGGAAGGTGTATTAATTTGCGGTGGACAATTTTTCCAGTAAATAATTAATGCAAAAAACTCGAAAAGGAAAGCGATAACGATACATACTAAAAAGCGGTTTTCCATCAAAATCTTTTATAACCTTAGTCTGTAAGTTTTTAAAATGAGATTTTGATTCTTCAGAGGAATGTTATACACGGTTCACTGATTGTGAACAAAAGACTAGTGAATGATTTTGTAAGTTTTATGGGACCATACAGTTAATGCGCCTTACAATATAGCTATTTTGGCAACTGGATTAATTCCAGCGTTTGTATTGCTGTATCGGCAACCTGGATCATTCAACAAGGTTAGCCAGTGTTGCTGCAAAGGTTTGAACAGAATCTACCGACAGATTTCCCGAGAAAACCAAAAAAAACTAAAACTTTTTTCTTTTACAAATTTCTTTAAAACTTTGTCCTTTTTACTGAGAGCAAATAATTTGGGCCTTAAAAAACCACCTATTTAGGGTGAAAACAATGCAATTGGATGAAAGCATTCAATTTACCGACAATCAGAATTTAGCATTTTGCATCTTGCCTAAACTGCTTAAGTTTGAACAGTGCTGATTTAAATTATCCGGATAAAACGAAAAAAAAACTTGAAATTTGAATCACGCTTGTTTTCAAACTAGTTAACTTCAGAAAAAATCATTAACACAGAACTTGATTGGAAATTCAGTAGAATTATTTCGGAGCAATTTAAGTTGCGAAATTGGGGTCCAAAATGGCACTCCAAAAACGAACATTTTCGGCTTTTTTAGTCGATTAAAAGCTACGCGAAAACTATTGGTTCTGGTTCAATTGCTGGTTCAATGTTTTTGGCGTAAATTGCTTTTTCACTGCAATTTGTGCTGAACAAGCTTGTATAGCACTGGTTTGTAGTAACCTGATAAGCTGAACTACAAACTAGAGTGCGTACAAATTGGTCTCAAAAGTAAAAGCGGGCAGGTCACATGAGTCCCAAAAATTAAAATCAGCCCCAAAGGTTTCAAAACACAAAGCTATCCCAAAAGTCCCAAAAAATTGACGTATAGACCTTTCATGTTTCAATTGGTCAAAGAATACTGATCCCGATGCTCGGTTGTAACACGGAGAGTCCCTCTGTTGTAGAACGAGATCTAAACTAGAATTTATTATTGGATATTATTCTGATATTTTATCTCTATAAAATATTGAATACTAACCAATCATACTCCATCAAACTAACAACCCACTTATGGAAGGTGTATTAATTTGCGATGGACAATTTTTCCAGTAAATAATTAATGCAAAAAACTCGAAAAGGAAAGCGATAACGATACATACTAAAAAGCGGTTTTCCATCAAAACCTTTTATAACCTTAGTCTGTAAGTTTTTAAAATGAGATTTTGATTCTTCAGAGGAATGTTATACACGGTTCACTGATTGTGAACAAAAGACTAGTGAATGATTTTGTAAGTTTTATGGGACCATACAGTTAATGCGCCTTACAATATAGCTATTTTGGCAACTGGATTAATTCCAGCGTTTGTATTGCTGTATCGGCAACCTGGATCATTCAACAAGGTTAGCCAGTGTTGCTGCAAAGGTTTGAACAGAATCTACCGACAGATTTCCCGAGAAAACCAAAAAAAACTAAAACTTTTTTCTTTTACAAATTTCTTTAAAACTTTGTCCTTTTTACTGAGAGCAAATAATTTGGGCCTTAAAAAAGCACCTATTTAGGGTGAAAACAATGCAATTGGATGAAAGCATTCAATTTACCGACAATCAGAATTTAGCCTTTTGCATCTTGCCTAAACTGCTTAAGTTTGAACAGTGCTGATTTAAATTATCCGGATAAAACGAAAAAAAAACTTGAAATTTGAATCACGCTTGTTTTCAAACTAGTTAACTTCAGAAAAAATCATTAACACAGAACTTGATTGGAAATTCAGTAGAATTATTTCGGAGCAATTTAAGTTGCGAAATTGGGGTCCAAAATGGCACTCCAAAAACGAACATTTTCGGCTTTTTTAGTCGATTAAAAGCTACGCGAAAACTATTGGTTCTGGTTCAATTGCTGGTTCAATGTTTTTGGCGTAAATTGCTTTTTCACTGCAATTTGTGCTGAACAAGCTTGTATAGCACTGGTTTGTAGTAACCTGATAAGCTGAACTACAAACTAGAGTGCGTACAAATTGGTCTCAAAAGTAAAAGCGGGCAGGTCACATGAGTCCCAAAAATTAAAATCAGCCCCAAAGGTTTCAAAACACAAAGCTATCCCAAAAGTCCCAAAAAATTGACGTATAGACCTTTCATGTTTCAATTGGTCAAAGAATACTGATCCCGATGCTCGGTTGTAACACGGAGAGTCCCTCTGTTGTAGAACGAGATCTAAACTAGAATTTATTATTGGATATTATTCTGATATTTTATCTCTATAAAATATTGAATACTAACCAATCATACTCCATCAAACTAACAACCCACTTATGGAAGGTGTATTAATTTGCGATGGACAATTTTTCCAGTAAATAATTAATGCAAAAAACTCGAAAAGGAAAGCGATAACGATACATACTAAAAAGCGGTTTTCCATCAAAATCTTTTATAACCTTAGTCTGTAAGTTTTTAAAATGAGATTTTGATTCTTCAGAGGAATGTTATACACGGTTCACTGATTGTGAACAAAAGACTAGTGAATGATTTTGTAAGTTTTATGGGACCATACAGTTAATGCGCCTTACAATATAGCTATTTTGGCAACTGGATTAATTCCAGCGTTTGTATTGCTGTATCGGCAACCTGGATCATTCAACAAGGTTAGCCAGTGTTGCTGCAAAGGTTTGAACAGAATCTACCGACAGATTTCCCGAGAAAACCAAAAAAACTAAAACTTTTTTCTTTTACAAATTTCTTTAAAACTTTGTCCTTTTTACTGAGAGCAAATAATTTGGGCCTTAAAAAACCACCTATTTAGGGTGAAAACAATGCAATTGGATGAAAGCATTCAATTTACCGACAATCAGAATTTAGCATTTTGCATCTTGCCTAAACTGCTTAAGTTTGAACAGTGCTGATTTAAATTATCCGGATAAAACGAAAAAAAAACTTGAAATTTGAATCACGCTTGTTTTCAAACTAGTTAACTTCAGAAAAAATCATTAACACAGAACTTGATTGGAAATTCAGTAGAATTATTTCGGAGCAATTTAAGTTGCGAAATTGGGGTCCAAAATGGCACTCCAAAAACGAACATTTTCGGCTTTTTTAGTCGATTAAAAGCTACGCGAAAACTATTGGTTCTGGTTCAATTGCTGGTTCAATGTTTTTGGCGTAAATTGCTTTTTCACTGCAATTTGTGCTGAACAAGCTTGTATAGCACTGGTTTGTAGTAACCTGATAAGCTGAACTACAAACTAGAGTGCGTACAAATTGGTCTCAAAAGTAAAAGCGGGCAGGTCACATGAGTCCCAAAAATTAAAATCAGCCCCAAAGGTTTCAAAACACAAAGCTATCCCAAAAGTCCCAAAAAATTGACGTATAGACCTATCATGTTTCAATTGGTCAAAGAATACTGATCCCGATGCTCGGTTGTAACACGGAGAGTCCCTCTGTTGTAGAACGAGATCTAAACTAGAATTTATTATTGGATATTATTCTGATATCTTATCTCTATAAAATATTGAATACTAACCAATCATACTCCATCAAACTAACAACCCACTTATTTGTAAGTGTTGAAACCGGTGTACACTAGATCTATTGAGACTAGGAGATATAAGAGTAAGATTATGATTGGTACTAGAAATTGGTATTGTAAGTGTTCAAACCGGTGTACACTAGATCTACTGAGACTGAGAGATATAAGAGTAAGATTAAGATTGGTATTAGACTAAGAAGTTGCACGAATATATCCGGCCGAAAATAAGATAGCGTGACGAGCAGACGGTGTACCTTATCTGAAATTACTCTATGAGTATAGTATATCATACATTACTCATCTGGTGCGACCAAAAGTCTCGAACAGACCTTAACTAACGTAGACTTAGACAAAAATTAGATTAGAATTAGACAAATACAACATTTCAAAAATGTTACATGACGAAACTTAAAAGATATGTCTCTACGATTCAATAGATCAGATCCAATATTCCGAACAATACGAGAACTACACGGTATTGGAAGAAGACCTCGAATAAGAGACGACATACGACTAAGGAGAAATCTACCAATCGATTTCATGATCGTACGACAAAAACCAGATCAAACTTTTATTTTAGATTTTTGCTACCAGTAAATTTAAAGTTTCATTTACTGACATAGAATTTTGGAGAAACATCCTCAATAACCTTTCATGGCGCTAAACCTAATAAGTATACAATAACCAACGATAAAAACAACACAAGTCGTTTTTTTAAATCAGCTGTAAGCTAAATAACATCTTGTTAATTGAATATGTTAAATGAATATATAAATACAAAAACAAGTAAGTATAAATCATAAATTATTAGTATATATAAATCATCCATTCATCCCAGCTTCATCAC